AAGACAGTCTGTTTGAGGTATACAAGTAAGGAACCTTGTCTGATGGGGAGGGAGAATAGAATGAGCAGAGACAGAATGGGAAGGGTGACGGACAGGATTCAAACACTCCATCTTTTTATTATTTATTTATTCATTTATTTATTAAAGATTTCTGTCTCCTCCCTGCCACCACCTCCCATTTCCCTCCCCCAATCAACTCCCCCTCTCTTGTCAGCCCATCAGCCCAAAGAGCAGTCAGGGTTCCCTGCCCTGTGGGGAGTCCAAGGACCTCCCACTTCCTTCCAGGTCTAGTAAGGTGAACATCCAAAGAGCCTAGGCTCCCACAAAGCCAGTACCGTGCAGTAGGATCAAAACCCAGTGCCATTGTTTTGACTTGTCAGCAGTCCTCATTGTCCGCTATGTTCAGCGAGACCGGTTTTATCCCAGGCTTTTTCAGGCCCAGTCCAGCTGGCCTTGGTGAGTTTCTGATAGAACATCCCCATTGTCTCAGTGTGTGGGTGCACTCCTCATGGTCCTGAGTTCCTTGCTCGTGCTCTCTCTCCTTCTGCTCCTGATTTGGACCTTGGGGTTTCAGTCCGGTGCTCCAATGTGGGACTCTGTCTCTGTCTCCTTTCATCGCCTGATGAAGGTTAATATCCAGGAGGATGACTATATGTTTTTCTTTTGGGTTCACCTTCTTATTTAGCTTCTCTAGGATCACGAATTATAGGCTCAATGTCCTTTATTTATGGCTAGAAACCAATTATGAGTGAGTACATTCCATGTTCCTCTTTTTGGGTCTGGCTTACCTCACTCAGGATAGTGTTTTCTATTTCCATCCATTTGCCTGCAAACTTAAAGAAGTCCTTGTTTTTTACTGCTGAGTAGTACTCTAATATGTATATATTCCACACTTTCTTCATCCATTCTTCCATGGAAGGGCATCTAGGTTGTTTCCAGGTTCTGGCTATTACAAACAATGCTGCTATGAACATAGCTGAGCATATACTTTTGTTGTATGATAGGGTATCTCTTGGGTATATTTCCAAGAGTGGTATTGCTGGGTCCAGGGGTAGGTTGATCCAGAATTTCCTGAGAAACAGCCACACTGCTTTCCAAAGTGGTTGCACAAGTCAAACACTCCATCTTTTCTTCTGGGATGCAGCCTAGGGATACAAAGATGGGTCTTTTGGTGAGGTTCCAAAAAGGATGCTGAAAATCAAACTCTGATTGAATTTCTTCCTCTGAGATGGGTTGGGGTGAGGACAGAAGTGGTGTGTGTGAAGGAAAGAGATAGTGGAGAATATCCTGGTCCTAGACTGCTAGGATAACACAATTGTGGGTCATTCAGTTCCCAAGGGTGCCAAAGCCTTTGCCTGTCTGGTGGCCCTTGTTGTATGTAATAGCATCCCTTTGAATACTTCCAGGATGCAGAAAATATGCCTCACACTAATTAAGATTGTTTTGTTTATTTCCTGCCTGCCAAGACTTCCAAATAATCACACACAAACCATATTATTTAAATCACTGCCTAGCCAATCACTTAAGCACATTGCTACCTAGCTCTTATATTTTAAATTAACCCATTTCCATTGTTTTATATTTTACCATGAGGCTCGTGGCTTACCAGCAAGTTTCCCTGGCAGCTAGCATCTTTCTCCTTTGGCAGCTACATGGCTTTTCACTGCCTCTGCCTAAGATACAGATATAGATTAGATAGATAGACATAGATATAGATGATATAGATATAGAAATATCCTAATGTCTGGTTAAATTCTGTTAAGCTATTGGCTAAAATCAGGTTCTTTATTAACCAATAAAAGTAACACATATACACAAGGACTTCCCACACCAGATGGTAATGGTCTTTGATGTAAAGAAATGGGGTTGTCTCCAAATTTAGGAGAATGAATGAATGATGCTATATGTATATAAGAGAGCCATAAAGCAAAGAAAACAAGCCTACAATCACAACCCCAAAGAACTTAGACAACAATGAGGACACTACGAGAGAATTAATAGATCTGACCTACATAGGAAGTAGGAAAAGATAAGACCTCCTGAGTAAATTGGGAGCATGGGAATCTTGTAGAAGAGTTAAGGGGGGAGGGGAGAGGCAGGGAGGGGAGCAGAGAGAAAAAATGTAGAGCTCAATAAAAATCAATAAAAAAGTAAAAAAAATTAAAAAGAAAGTCATGATAGATGATGACGACAGGATACCAGGCTGAGAGTAGGACCCTGGTGAGTACAGTGAGCTCTGCCTCTTAGGATGGAGAAAGCTTGCTTCCTCCACTCACTGAGAATAGAAGTAGTTGATATTCATATGATATCACTCAACAATGGGAACACAACAAGGGGAACACTTGAGGGCCTTAACATCAATCAGCTTATCCAGGGTCACAGAATTGGCAGTGGTATTATGTTAGTGAAGAACCTTAAGGGCCTTATCTACTGTCATAGAATAATTATGAGGTGTGTGCGGGTCATAAGAAGCACGCTGTATGTGACTGAAAACAGAGTGGTAGGGATACCTGAAGGCAGAGCTGTACAGAGTTTGTAGCGGATAGATATCCCTTGGGACAAGACTTGAGGGAAAAGGAGGAAACAGGCAAGGACAGGAAAAAGAAGATTGATAAAACATAGTTTGAAGGCTGTGGGGAATAACTGTTACTGAAGTTAGAGATGTAAGGAGACAGGGCCTGTACAGAGCATCAGTTTCTTTACAGAAAGAGTCTACATGTAGGAACTAATTCCAGCAGTGGGCTAGAAGAACTAAGACCTGATTCAGAGGCTGTGCAGGAAACAACGGTGAAAAGCACATGGTGAAGAAAGCACCCTTGAGATTAAGAGAGTGAAGTGAGTTTTTGATGGTGTGGGGGCAGACAGGTAAGAAAGGGTGAAATAAGGGATGGGAATCAATGAAGAGTTAACCCATCTAATGACCCTGTATGAGGGGGTAGGAGAAGGAAGTACAAGAGCAGCTCTTCTATGTCTTGAAAAGGGCTGCTAATGGGAAAGGGGGGCTTTAGTGAAGTTTGTCCAAAGCACTGGACACTTAGAATGCCTGTGGGAGGTCAGTCAAGGTAAGTTGTTTTAAGAAATTTGAGTCAGAAGTGAGGGAAAATGTCACAGGACTTGAGGTGGAAGGCAATGGTAAAGAAAGAACCCTGGAGGTCCAAGACTGTGAAATGGTGACCAGTGGGTATTTGAGAAAGGAAGGACTCAGGCTTCAGGATAACTAGGTAGATGGGCTCACAATTTGGAGGAACCTTGGCTTTCCAGTGTATAAGGAAAGGTATACATTGGAGGGAGTTCTGAAAAATGGTACTATCAGAAACAAGTAAATGAAAGATGATGGGGTTGATATCCATAGCCCCAAGAAGGAGGGTTGGTAATGGACCATCAAAATATATTCAGAATTACTGAGAGAGATGTGAGACTAAATGTGGTATTGGGTGATTCTGGACAACTTTATGTCTCAGAGAGTGGTATCACCCTAGGAGTCTCAGTTAAGGTCAAGGAATGAATGGGGGTCTCCATCAGGTACAGCCTAGTATGAGAGGACAATTTGAAAGTCTTCAAGTTTATTGAGTAAGTCCCTCCTTGGTAAGCAAAAGGGAGAGGATGGAAAGACAAGAAATAAGTGCATTTAGATAATGTCGTGGAAGAAGAGAGTAAATAAGAGTGTGATGGGTTTAACTTAACATAGCAAAATTACATATAACAAAACAGTTATTAAGCAAGAATTACAGTTACAATATTTATATCTATTTTATCTCTTATCATAACTAAGGAAAACTATATTCATTCTTCAACTCCATCAAAGACTCCAGAAAGGGCCCTGCTGTATGCTAGGACCAGTGCTCAACAACAGTTTTAAGCTCCTATTTTAAGCTCCT